CCTTCTGCTACATTTTAATGGCAGCACAAAGTCAACAGAGATCATAAAACTGCCACCTAGTGGTTGGCAATGAGCTGGTGCAATTGTGCAACTTTTGTGTAACACACTCCAGACAACTGCAGGCTTCAATGTCATGAATAATTACAATAGCCCCAGCCTTGGAAGCCCAGGAAAATGATCTGTTCCAGCAAGTATTATGAATTGATAATAAAGCCATTTACGTATAAACACAGTTTATACCAACCAAGAGTCAAAACATTTTATATCTCAAATCTAAAACACTCTATTTTGGGAGTGAAACATTTCAAACGTTCTGAGCTCAAAACAGCACATTTCAAACTTGAAACAGCTGTCTTGATTTCTGGAATGCTTCCAAAATGATTAGGATGGGATGTTTCCAATTTGAGATGGTTCAAATGTGATACGTTTTGGTGATCTGAAACTGCTAGTTCAGATCCTGCTGGACTTCGAAAATGCACACACCAGGCACAATGACATTCTAGAACTGTTGAAATCCCATGAGATTTGGGGCCAGATTGTCAAGACCTCGCAGAATTTAAGTAGGATCTATGTTTTTTTACTGAGCAGCCTAAGCAAGGAAGGAGGATTTTATTTATTCATTTATTTGTTTGGTGAGGGGTACATGGAGAGTTGCCCCTGAACGTTTTGTTTTTTTTCAACAAGGCTTTGTGTTCCTGAAAAGATCAGGTTTCTTCTGATAATGCCAGAGCCTCACTTTTGTTCTGCAGTGATCATGTTCTAGAGCTGTATTTGCTAAGACTGGAGCTGACAGCAGTAAGATCAAATCTTTATAAAATGCTGAAGATATAAATTGCTCAGATATAGTAACATGTGAGTGACAGTAAGTGAACCTGGTCTGGAGGTCCCCACGCCAGGTCTTCAGTCTCACAAGCCCAAAGTTTACCTTCAAGGGGGCATAAATGTATTATAATTAGCACTGGGTAGATACCGCCCTGCATTTTTTCCTACTGGGTTTGCATTCACTTGGATGAAACAGAATATGCTCTAGAAATTCTTTCAACGGAGAAGAGAATAACAGAAACACCTCCTGGTTGGAGGTGGGGTTCTTATCCTACTTAGTTCTGAGATAGCCAAGGTATGTGTGTGTAAGCATTCTGCTTTTCATTGTACAAAAAACTCTCCAGCAGTCTACAGCTTCCCCCATTCCCACCTAACAGTCTGCAGCCTCCCTGGCTTCCCCCCTTCCCACCTAACAGTCTGCAGCCTCCCTGGCTTCCCCCCTTCCCACCTAACAGTCTGCAGCCTCCCTGGCTTCCCCCCTTCCCACCTAACAGTCTGCAGCCTCCCTGGCTTCCCCCCTTCCCACCTAACAGTCTGCAGCCTCCCTGGCTTCCCCCCTTCCCACCTAACAGTCTGCAGCCTCCCTGGCTTCCCCCCTTCCCACCTAACAGTCTGCAGCCTCCCTGGCTTCCCCCCTTCCCACCTAACAGTCTGCAGCCTCCCTGGCTTCCCCCCTTCCCACCTAACAGTCTGCAGCCTCCCTGGCTTCCCCCATTCCCACCTAACAGTCTGCAGCCTCCCTGGCTTCCCCCATTCCCACCTAACAGCTTCCCTGGCTTCTCACCTTTCCATTCAATCCCAAGGGCAGACATCAGGAGGGAGCTCCTCCCAAGGCGCTCTATCAAGTGGTGAAGCATAAGGAGCCAGGAAGGTTTCAGAGGGATGGAAAGATGTGTCACTGCAAATCTTCTCTCCCAAGGGAAGACACATCAGGAGGGAACCCCTCTTTCCTCCAGAGAAATGCAGAGAAACGGTCCCCCCCCCGTCACCCATTTCTCTGTCCAAAACTACAACAGACATTGCTGAATGGCCCTTTGTGCCCAGGTCCCATTAAAAATAAATAAATAACAAATGAAGTGGCCATCAACGTGAGTGTGCAAACAACCCATACTTCACAGATCACCCCAGGAGCCTTGCTAGCATGACCACGTGGACTGACGCACAGATGCAAGCTGGGCGGGAACCGTCTGGGTTCTAGCATGATGGACGCCATAGATCAAGGAAGGAGGCCTCCAAGGTCACCTCCCAGGGGCCCCCCAGCTCACCAGATCTAAATGCTCGTAATTTGGTAGATGGGGCCACTCTGTCTCCTCATTCCCTGTTGCCCTGTTAAATGCTCAGCCCAGAGAGCCCGGGGGAAAAAAACCATTAGTGAGATACAAAGAGCCGACAGCATTAGGCTGTTGATAGATTTCTCATTCTTCCCCCCAAAACAAAGGCTCAGAGGAGAGGGCATTGGCAGCGATGGCAGCTGAGCTTCTCCTGCCAGAAGGAGAAGATTCATTCCTAATGCGAGATTTCTTGTTTGGAAGAACAGTTGACTTTTTAATGTCACCCCACACACCACGCACCACAAAAGGAAGACGACAGACATTACAATAGATCAGTGTTTCTCAACCGTGCCAACTTTAAGACGTGTGGACTTCAACTCCCAGAATTCCCCAGCCAGCCTGGCTGGCTGGGG